GTGTCTGGAATGACCAACACTGGGGCGCTCGTTAGTTTCTTCTTCAATTCCTGGAAGCTCTCCTCACAACGATCGGTCCATGCAAACGGCTGATCCTTCCTGGTGAGATACGTCAGAGGGGCTACTATCTTAGAGAATCCCTCAATGAACCGCCTATAGTAGCCCGCAAGTCCTACGAAGCTCCTAACCTCTGTGACCGAACGTGGACTCTCCCAATCCAGCACTGCTTTCACCTTGGCTGGATCCACTGAAATGCCACCAGCAGAAACAACGTGCCCCAAAAATTGGATTTCCTTCATCCAGAATTCACACTTCGAACGCTTGGCATACAACTCTTTTTCCCTCAACACGCTTAAGACGATCCTCAAGTGGTCTTCATGCTCGTCAAAGCTCTTGGAGTAAATGAGGATGTCATCAATGAACACTACTACAAATTTATCAAGGTACGGCCTAAAAATCCTGTTCATGTAGTCCATGAAGATGGCAGGTGCGTTCGTCACTCCAAAGGGCATCACCACGTATTCATAATGACCATAACGAGACCGAAAAGCAGTCTTATGAATATCTCCCTCCTTCACTCTAATTTGATGATAGCCCGAACGCAGATCAATCTTTGAAAATACGCACGCACCTTGCAACTGGTCCAGTAGGTCGTCTATCCTCGGAAGTGGATACTTGTTCTTGATGGTCAGTTTATTAAGTTGTCTATAATCTATGCAGAGCCGAGAGCTGCCATCCTTCTTCTTAACCAACAACACCGGTGCTCCCCATGGTGAAGCACTTGGCCTGATGAACCTCTTGTCTAATAACTCCTCAATCTGCTTCTTCAGCTCTATCAACTCGGCTGGCGTCATTCTATAAGGTTGGACCGAGATGGGTGCAGCAGTGGTCACCAAGTCGATCGTGAACTCAACCTCGCGAATGGGAGGTAGACCAGGGACTTCGTCCGGAAAGACGTCCGGGAATTCATCTACTACCGTTCGTCCTCTACTGTGCTCCTTGTTGGACGAACGCTCCACTCTAGCGTCCCTTACTTCTTCATCTTCATACGTCATGATAAGGAAACAGCTTGCTCCTTCCATGATATCTTCCTTCAACTGTCCGCGATCGACAGATAACTCCTCCTCTTCCTCTCCTGGGAAGACCAACTCCTTCTTTCCACAATCAATGAGGATCCGATTGGTAGCCAACCAATCCATCCCCAAAATTACTTCTAAGTCTTGAAGGGGTAAGCAAATGAGTTTTACCTTATATCTACGCCCCTCAACTTCTATTGGACATCTCACACAAACTGTAGACGTCTTAATCCCACCAGCCGCTGGGGTTGACACCACCAAGTCGAACTGTAATTCACTCTCCACTAGCCCCAGTTTCTCAACGCATGCCTTCGAGATGAAGGAATGAGTTGCCCCCGAATCATACAACACTCCACACGGCTTTCCAAACAAGAAGCAAGTGCTGGTGATGAGCGTACCTGAACGAGCAGCTTCAGCACCCGTAATTGCATAAACTCTTCCTGTAGCTTGTGCACGTCCACCTCTTCCTTGTTGGGCTCTTCCAGCGTTCGGCGGCCTCATTGCCGCACGTCCTCCCACATAGCACTCGTTCTCCAAGTGCCCATTCCTTCTGCACTTAGTACAGTATTTTCCCCCATTCAGTTGAGGACAAGCCCACCTAAGGTGTGGTCCTCCACACTGGAAACATGCCACACTCCTTGGCTGTCCAGACTGGCCGACAGTAGCCAAGGCTTGGGATCCACTCGCGTTGACTGCTGGACGAGCGTAAGGGGATCCTCTCTGATTTACATTCCCCTTCGAGACAATCGGCCCCCTTACTGTTTGCTGTTTCTTATGCCGTTCCGCCTCTGCCAAGTTCTTCTCCAACACCTTGGCCCTCTCCACCATAGCAGGGAACGTTCGGATACACAAACTGGAAACCACAACCTTCAGATCACTGCGTAGACCGTTTTCAAATTTTCTGCACTGCCACTCCTCACTGGTGGCCATTGTATTGAAGCGAATCAAGTGTTTGAACTTGTTCGTATATTCTGAAACTGACATCCCCCCTTGAACCAGCTGTAAAAACTCAACTTCCTTTGCAAAACGGACACTGTCAGGGAAGTACTCTTCATAGAATTTATTTCTGAACACTTCCCAAGTAATCTGCTGTTGAGCGTCCATCAGAATGGCTCTGGCGCTCGCCCACCAGTGGCTGGCTTCTCCAGTCAGCAAGTACTCCGTATACGCCAAGCGGTTTTCATCTGGACATCTCTTGGCGTTGAAAATTCTCTCCATATCTCTCAGCCACTGGTCCGCTTCATCCGGAAGACACTTGCCACTGAACTTGGACGGATGGTGCTGGAGAAAACTCTCCAAACTCCATTCAGCATTGGGTTGGGTAGCATGTTGAGTGGCGTTTGAAGAAGAAGCTCCAGTCGCACCTCTAGTTGATAAGTGTGAAAAAGAGTTATTTTTATACTTATAAATGAGCTCAATCTTGTAATTATTCATGTTGTTCTTCATTGAAAAGTTGTAATAGG